AGAGTCCAGCCGATAGAATATCATTCCTAATTTTCAAGTTGTTGAATGGAACTCATTGATCCCCAAAATCCTAGGCTTTTAACAAATCTCGAAGTTCTGAAGCTTATCAAAGATAAACTTGAATCTAAAAAGAAAGTCAGGCGCCAGCAAACGCTATTGTATACGGGCGCAAAGTATTTAAATACCAAATCACCTTGTAGCAAACAGGAAGAATCAGGAGTACAGGGTTTTGTTAATGATGTCAAGGTATTTAATTTAACAAAATCTGAGATTCTCATGCTTATCAATCACTGTCCCAGTAGTCAAGTGGAGCTATCAGTAGTGAGTCCCATTGTTTTTTAACATACTCCCATGTATATGATAGATATACGTTCTCACCGCTAAATGTAATGTCATTTGTTTTTGTGTACATGTTACTACTAAAAATAGATATTCTACTACAGTCAAGCTTCTGTACATTCCTTTGAAGATAGTTCCGTCGAACGTCTTTGTAAACCATTCGGGGGTAACTGTCGATGTTGTTATTTGTGGTTGACAGCTATTGGCGCCCGATTACACATCTCAATTTATTCTCCAAAGCTTAAATTCAGTCACGTAATGTAAAATTCATTTCAAAGATAGTAGCTTTTTTTGGAGCACCCTTGTATAATTTTGCAGAATCGTCTACAACAGAAGTATAGGGTTGACTAAAATAGTTCTGTAATCATTCTCATAACTCCAGTTAGTCACTCTCAGGTAACTTAGTTTTTCAAACATAAATCTAGTGCAGCATTGTTTGTTTATCATCGGTTGCCCCAGCAAACTTTGACAGTATCTCCAGTCAATATAAATATTATGTAGGTTGATTTTAGTCATAGTCACCAGCCATATTTTCAGCCACTCTTAATTGGTGTGCTTCGTCGAGCTTAATTAATTGTAAACAGTATCCAAGTCGGTCTAAAACTAATCATATGAAGTGAGGAGTTTGGTTTCTAATCATTTTATAATGGATTAGGTTGTGTGATTTTATGGACGACATTTCCCGTCTGGCGCTTGTGTTTGTTTGCCTATGAACTATAATTTGTGCACTTATTATACGACAGCTGCAATAAGTAGATTGGTGTAAAGTACTTAACTGTTTCTCGAATACTTGGTAAACTAAAATGTCATTGCACTATCCACATATTTACCTAAATAAGATGCGTTTTCAAACAAGGTGGTTGATTTATTTCCAGCTATAGCCTTAATATTTAAGGTAAAGATACTCAGTGATCGTGTTTGATCATGTTTCTTAAAAATTGCTTCGCTCACAACAGCTTGTACATACTAGTAATTCTATGTGTTATGGTAACGTTGGTGATGGTCTAAAAAAATATGGGTCGGTGACACCTCTTATGCTGTTCACGTGATTTCCATATGAAACTTCCATGATACCAAGATTAGTTGACAAAAGCAGTCAGTTTATCAGCGGCCGTCTTAATGGAGCTGTATTTTATACTCTTCAGAGCCAGTAAGGCATATCTTTGGGAAGAAACGAAACCTATCGTGGATATTTATGAGTTATTTCCGTATTTTCTTTTCAATAATGCTAGGTGACTTCCCACTTTCATTTATTCATATAGTTTTCATGTTATTTTGTATTGTGCTTTTCATGATACCTAACTTTAATAAGCCATTGAAGTAAAGTAGGTCTAAGTATTTGCGCTATTTATGATGAGTTAGTCGAAAAATATTTTGTGTTAATATAGGTGTACCATATAGTCCAACTGAAAAGCACTATTTTTACTCCACAACTCCTTCAGCTCATTTCAAAGCGTACCAGTATAAACCCACAGTTACACGAAGCAAGTATATAGTGCGTAGTAGATGGAATGAGAAAATCAATCTACTGAGAATGACACGATGTTTTCAATTCTCACTTCGTTTCAGTGACGAAATTTTTTTTCGAACGTGGATTGACAACAGTTGTCTTCATAGTCTTATCAATGTTTGCTTCAAGGGCCTAGTCTCGACTGTGTATATCAGGAATTTCTGGAGAATTATTTCCACTGTGGAAGATAGTTAGATTACAGTCAATATTTTTCTTGGTTTTGATTTCTCGGTTCTAATGTAAAAGCAGGCTTGTTTAATACTGTGTTGGAGTCAGCAGATTGTTGGTTACATTTATCTGGATTTCTGTTGTAGATAATCAGTGATTTGGATTCTCGATTATCTAACAGTCAAACTGACCAACTCTTACAATTAGTAGAAAAGCATTTTCCCGATGGTGTTACTGCAAGTCAAATGATCAATTCCACTGGTACATTAGAGGCATCTGAAGATATCACATAATTATTACTACTTATATTTATCTCCCATCCTAACATAAATACATTTTACTAGTCTTTCACTTTTCGTTAGTTTATCCTCTAAAGTCATAGGTAGATAAGTATGGATTAATGTTTAAATAGTTCAGAACGAGCATCTTAATGAAGTTCTTGCAAACTACTAAATTTCGTCATGAGTATAAGACTAGCTTTATTTGATGAGAGCTCATTCTTTAAAAGCTGTACAAAACGTTTACGTATGTAGATTGTTTGCAAAGCTTTGTTTCGAAAATACCAAACCCTGCAGAGATTTGGTAAAAATATAGTAATTCACGGTACTCTGGTTCAAATGTCTACCAACTGAAGTTGACAAGATATATATTAACGATCAGTAGCAGTATCACTGATAACACGAAAAATTAACAAAGGATACGATTTCATTGGATTAGATGCGATTAATGAATAAGAGGTATAAAATAATTTTACAATCCAAAATTTGAAGGAAAACGACGAGTAAATATATCCACGCTATTGCGACAAATTTTGAGCCAAGATAGGTTATCTACCATTCATTAGGATTGTCTTGTGAATTTCGATTCGGCCCCTTAGATTGGTGAATGTACTGATTTGGGTGTCTCTTAATTATATCTAATGAACTTCTGTTAGTCACCATTGCACATTGGTGGCGGTGGCCAAGTCGGTGTAACACGTATCAGCCACTCCAGTGAATAAAAATTTATGGCTTCGTTAACCAATTTACCATATCTCTCTGTCACCCTAAGTCCGTCTGGTTGTTCCATTAGTATGTTAGTAGTTCTATGACCAAATATCAGCAACCTATACCATAAGATTAAGAGGACTGAAGCTTTGTATATCCCTTTAATAGATAGACGAATATTTTCCTGTGGAACTGGTGAACAACGCTGAGCTTTTCGTATCGGTCGCATGGCTCCATCAGCCAATGACCCCCTAGGGCCGATGGTTTTGATCCATTCGACCGTTATCTTGAGAATATATTCATCACATCCCTAGGATCGAGCACATATAATGGGGCGCGCCATATTGTTCCCGGGAATGCTTGTTGAACAAGTGGTAACCCGACTGCTTAGATACTCAGATTAAAGTAACGCTACTATCATCCATGCTATTGAATCCTGCCTTGAGGTATATTTGCCCAGATGTCTTGGATATAGACTTTGTGAACTAACAAGTGCCATACTATATTTTCATCCACATTGTTCTCGTCCTGCCAGTGAAGGGGGTACTACTTGACATAATCAGAAAACGTTAACACTTAGGAATGTTATGCACGCTAGGCCGATGGCCATCGGTTGTAAAATATCTGTATATATTGAGGAATCAATGGGAATGTCAAGGACATGACGAGATGATCCATACAGAAGCAAAACATTGAAGACACCAAAAACTTGACGGTGTAACCAACACTCCCTATCCTTTAGTTACAATCAGACCATTGAGTCAAATTATCTTCGCACAACATTGAGATTGTCACTTACTTGTTGTATGTAGACATCTTGGGCTGTCTTCACACCACGCTTTAACATATGCGACGACGATACCACATAGAAAAAGCCAGAGTCCTTCCCATTTAATTGGTACTATCACATCCGCTAAAACTGATTTAATACTTTGCATACCAACCTAAGGCTTTATGAACCAAAAAGCTGTTTTAATAACATGCATTAAGTTCGAGTTTTCAATTTAGAGAACAATGATTAGGTTTATGAAGATCCTATTAAGATGTGGTCAGATCAAGTAGGATGGATCTGTCGTACTGTACCTTACAATGCTGCCCCGACTGTTACTGCTACATTGACGTGGTGGTCTGGTTTGTCTATCGTTATGAACTAATCGAGCTATACTGGCTGGAACAATTGTTCCTCAAGGTTTTACCATGCCAGACAGGTCTATTAAAGGACAGTAAAACTAAAAAAGGTCAGAGGGCGAAGTAGTACTGTTCACCTTACAGTGTGGCAGCAGTGAGTTGTTTCCCTCAAGCAACCACGATCTGTAGAAATCCTGCCTTTTCGTAATGACGGGTTAGAAAAGGTCAACCCTGAAAATGTCACGTCTCACCTTACTCCACGGGCCTCCGGCGGTAAGGTCCCAACAAGTACGCAGCTAACACGAGAATTACTCACAAGGTCGTGTGTGACCGACCACAAGCAGTTGTCCTTTGGGCGCTGCAGTCACGCTCTCAGGTCACTAGGGTTACCTCTATACCAATTTTCTTTCCATGTGCTCAGCTCAGGTCATTCTAAACAGACGAGATTTCGACCGTCTATATAAACATTATGCTATTTGAAACGATTCTTAACCAACAGATGTTAAACCATACCGGTAGACGTCTTTAGAACAACCCCCAAGGCCTATCAGATGGGCACAAGGTCCAACCTGAAAACATTACTTAGTGAATGATGGATTTAAAAGACAAAGAATAGGCCAGTTGTACAAATTTATTAACTAATGAATTGAACTGGCGGTTGATGCAATCTTTGGCCACATATCAGCGCATTCTTTAGCCACAGGACCGGTAATTGCCGAACCTGGAATGAAAAAAGCAGGGTTTACTTTACCGAATGACTTAACAAGTGAAAAGTTATGTTCTTTCCATTAAACGTCTTTAACGTTTCAAATTAACACAAGATAATGGCAAAAACCTTACTTAGTCATTGTTTATTACGATAGAAATGAGTTTTCTTTGAAAAGAATGAATGATTGCGTGCCTACGTGAAACTGAAGTTCATCCAACTTGTCACACTAGCATGTTTGTAAGTGCTAACATTACTAAAGGGCAGGTGCGTAAGGTCATTAGGCCTTATTATTAAATGGAAATATTAAGCATGAGATTTCATTCAGTAAAACAATTTACTGTACTTGACTAGCAGTATTACATTCAGTGGATTATATGTTGTCACTGCGTGAACTATCTTTGAAATATCGAACTAGATTACTGACTAATCAAGCAATACAGTTGTTAATGAATGCCTTAAACAGTAATCGTTAACAGACTAGGCAACCCAACAGCATCACAAAAATGTGAAACCACTCACAATTTTGTCCGGGTTAGTAATCCTCACTGAATGCTTACCCGAAGCAGATAAATCTTGGTAAGATATGACTTCAGAAAATGCGCAAACACGATAATAATGTGAAAACAAAGTAGAGGAGAAAGAAATAGCCAGTTAAAAAGTCAACAAGAACGCCGTTTAGTGAGGCAATTTGCTTGAAAACAACTAGGAAAAACCCTACGGACGACCAGAATTATATGTTTACCAAATAAGAGCACACAACTCTTCCTAGAAATGACATTGATTATTAGTGACAACTGGATTCCCTATTACTTCATATATATTTAGTGATACTACCATCTCTGTCTCATGTAATAAAATCTTGTGACGCAACTATCCAGGAAACAAGTGATAACTACCTGTAACAAATTCCCAGGAAGGTAAGGGTAACACTATCAAACTACTCACCAGATTACTGCCGATTATTGCATGTTGGATCGATTAGTTTTATCTACTTCGAATGGGGATTGTTAATCTATTATCATTGATGTGACTGCAAACACAGCGTACAATAAATGTTGCTAGGTAATTAGCATCCGACAGGCATACAAAAGGCTGGTTGAAAATAGAGCTAAACATAATTTGTCCGAAACACTAACATAATAACTTATTGAACGGTTTAAGTCATGTATCTGGATATTATAGTTCAGAACTGAACTATCATCAAAACTCAGTCTATCGTAGTCATGTGTTAGATCATGCGGTTATACCTGCAAATACCTTACTATCAGATTTTTTCTAGTTAACGGAAGCATACTAATCAAAGCGTAAATAAACCTGCAAAGGGCAAAATGACGCTGAACTCAATGGTAAAAAGGAAGTAAAATACTTTAGTATTTACCTTTAAGTTCTCCCTTGTTGTTGACAATCACGCCAGCGTTATCCTCGAAATAAATGAATACTCCGTTTTTTCGTCTGAAGGCCTTACGTTGTCTGACAACTACAGCATACAACACCTTTTTCCTTAGTTCTGGTTTCCCTTTTTTAACCGAACACACAATTAGGTCACCAGTTGCTGCCGATGGAAGACGGTTCAAGCGACCTCGAACACCAAACGTAGCTATTACATACAAATTTTTGGCACCACTGTTGTCAGCACAGTTCATTATAGCTCCAACAGGAAGAGCCAATGAAATTCTGAACTTTCCACCAGATGAACCACCCCTTCCTAGTTAAATAGACAACTATAGATACAATCAGGACGAAACAAGTTATGCACGAAGTATAATGTAAAGCAAAACGAGGAACTCACCACGCTTCGGCATGATGCAGGTTTAACCGCGGTTAAGAAGTAGTGGTGAAAGTAGCACAACATAAGTATGTTTGTGTAAACATCATTCAATACAACATTGATTCAGATTATGACAGACGAAATATATAAATTAGTTATGTGATCATATTATACTTTCAAAAGCATTACTTACCATACTTCATGACATTGGATGGGGTATATAAAAGGAAACTGTTCGGACATTAAAATCTAATGGTCCTAAACCTAGTATTGCTGGTAAACGCTGGTACAATTAGTTGCTCACAGAAAAATTGGTTCTTCTTGTAGTAGAATAGTTCTAGTCCGATTCCATATTAGAAAGGCAATTTCAACCACGTTTTGCCATGGTTACGGTTCAAATGGATGGAATAGAGGAAGCTTTCGCTTAACGGACTTCCGTATCTAGTAGCAGTGGATCACAGATACCTCTCGGTAGGAACACAAGCATATTAACAGTAAAGGAGGAAAAATAAAAAAACGTTAGTATAATTGGTAAAGTGAGAATTTTCCAGTTCAGGTTGCATGTATGAGTTCATTTTAGTTGATTGGATTGTAAAACTGAAATCTGCACGTCTATTATCGGAAATCTTTGTCTTCCGGATGACTAACCCTTCTTCAGAACACATGGAACTGATCGGAAAATAAACGGAATGACAACGATTGAAGATATTTGAGGTTCATATCTGCTAAGAATATTGGCACAAAAACCTCCTTCAAACAAGTGGCATGAGGCTTCTCATTCAGTACCTTCTAAAGTTATGAAAACACTATACTATTGGGGCCTGAGTGATTCATTCTTATTGATAAAATTCCATGAACCTTAACAAAATGGTTTCTGAGCAGGTTTCTCTATAGTAATTCCGATTATCCACCCGAATATTTAAACAATGTAAATGTACATATTTGCATATTTTATTCATTTTCCGTTCAGCATGAACAAACTAAATAGTGCTCAAAGTAAATTATCTAGCTGTAGTTTATTCTGTCCCTTGGTATGGCTGTTTGCGCGTGTTTTAATATCCGATAACTGATCTTCTGACTATGTTTGCGATTTACTTTCTTCCTGCCACTATTATACTAGTAGAGTTAACTGAAGTATTGTATAAGAGACTAAATCTGAAAATAATATTTCGCTGGAGTCAACCAAGGGCATAAAGATATCACGGATATTCGATGTTTCATAACTCTGTTGTCCGTAACACCTATATAGTTGCGGATTCTGAAGCCGGTCGAACCAGATGTCAGGAATAAAGGAGTTGGGAGATTTACTTAGAAGATAATCGATGTGTCAGCAAGTAAATGATCTAAGTTAATGTGTAGCACGGAGTACTCAGTAGTGAATGGATTCAGGTGCTTTACTAAGAGATTTCAGCCCTCCTGTGTCTAGTAAAACTAATGGGAACCGCACCATTTTCGATGAATTACTAAACTGCTCACTTTGGACATTTATTTACTGTCACAATCATTATAAAACCTGCATTATTAACTTGAGGGACGCGGCGGATAAATAGAGCGAAATTTTTCAACTCTATGGGTAAGATTGATGCGTATGCACCAAATTCTCTTACTCGTCATTGTCGTATCATTGATGTTGAGCAGATTGATTTTCGCTTACCAACAACGCTGAAGATGTCAAATGGATCGAATAACTTCTGCCTACAGAGAGAAGTGATCATGAAGTCTTTATTTTCAAGTTTATTGACACAGTGGTGCAACCTAGCATATCAAATGCTGGCAATGAGGCAATTAACACTACGGTCTTAAATAAATTTTAAAGAGTGGAATCACTTCCTGTAGCTATACAATGGAGCGGCAGGTGTAATTGAATATTACAAATCTATCTGTGATAAATGTATGGACATGGTGTATCGCTCAGCGCGAAAACCTAATAGACTGAGGCGAAGCGCCATCAAGCAAATGGAGCGACTGATGGATACCACACAACAGGAACTCTTCAATGGATTTCAGTTTAATCGCTGAAGGGATCTCATCTCACATAACAGGAGAAGACTAGGAAAAGTCAAGAGTCATATGAAACTTATTCAGGACAGCCTTCGCTCCTGAACCCCCTCTTGACACATGATAATGTCAGTAAATAGGTTGCTCACTGTGGGCTTCATTCAGGGTAGCTTACTAAGATCACAAAGCCATATAGATAAGAAAATCAACAGAGCCCGATAAGACACACCCTAGAATGCTGTGACAATCTAGAGTTGATACTGTTGCTTTTTTAAAAACTTTTGTCAAACCATGAACCTGCTATCCTTGCAAAATTGTAGTTAAAATGTTTAAAAGATCAACGAAGATGAAATAATAGACCACGTGAAAACTGACTTGTTAACTAAATGACTATACTGTCTTAGGAAAGAATTATCGCGTACGATTACTTTCCTGGTAGTGAGAGGGGTAAACGAAAGTCTTCCAATGGTTCAAAATCATCTAGTGTCGTCTACGTTTGTTTAAGCAAACGAGTCGATGACGGGACGGATAATACACTCCTGATGAATCTAGTGAATCCAAGATGTCTTGGACCTCTGCTGAACTGTATCAAAGGTATTCTAGCAGGCTGTCGACAGAACGAGAAAATTACAATTAATTCCCGAAGAATCCTTTATCTGGTGGGGTAATTCAATTCTTCATCCTAGTGACGCCAATGTATGTCTATTCTAAGGCTAACCTACATGTTCTAGTTAGCTCGTCGAAACTGTGGTTGGTATCTATCAAAGTGCTCAGTTGTGTTTGTGAGCATAGCAAACGTTAACTCATTCGGGAGAAAATTAGGCTCTTACAAGAGGTCATTAGAAAAGGGCTATTACAAGCTGTTGATTTTCTGTCCTTAGTACAAAAATCCAAATACCAATCCATCTTCACTTGTTATCGATCCACCAGTTAAAATTATATTCGAAAATTCGACTATTTAAGGTTTTTGATTGATCCAATATTATTCTTGCATTGTTCCGTTGTACTATTTAAACTTGGATTAATTTTAATTTGGTTATTTATTCCCTGAAGAAGTGGCTTACACTAAGTCACGAAACGTCAGAAAATCCAATTTTCTACTCATTGGGATATTACAAATATTTTATTTTTATTTATTTAAGGTTGGGATGAATTATTAAATTTTTGTGGTACAGAACTCCCATTAGAGCTTATATTTGCCAATTAAAATGACCATTACTCTTACCAACCTACTTGAAGGATCTTCCTTATGGGGTATTTTCTGAGTTATTGTTTATGGGTAATAGCATAAAACTGTGGGATAAAATTCTCATGTTGAATGTTGGAGTAGCGCTTCAAAAGCATTTTCCCAAGTTTCAAAGGTAGATAGGAAACGGTAAACTAACATTTGTCTGTGAAACGTGTACAGTAATCCATTCGCGTCATCATACAAATTAAAGTAGATTTTGAACACAGTTAATATTGAGTCTCAAAATAAGTATTGGTGTCAAGTTCAAACCCTATAAGGACTGCATTAGGGCAGTGAGCCTTTAGACTTTAAAATATGAGAGACTCAGTCATAACCTAATGATGACTCACAATGTGTTAAATAGTTTTTGACGTTTTCCGAAGAGCTCATTGTAGATCAGTCCCGGAATTTCTTAACACACGTAAGTGAATTGAGCAATCTTCCCAAAAGTAACTTGATATATTCTTCAAAACATGTAGCGGTTTCTTGTAATAATTTGTAGGATTTAGGTCAAGGTCGATACCAATGCACGTGCCCATGATACTAGGATAATAGACAATCCAATATTGTGAATTTCCATGATATGACTACCTACTTTGTAAGATCTTACGTAAAAATCACATTATCGTCTATACTAACTCATTGTACTTTGACATTTAGCAGTATGCTTTTTCTGAATCTTTGAAGGACCTATTTAAATCGGAGACAGAATAATATATTCGATATGGTGATTAATAGGTTACATAAAGTGACAATATCTGCATGACCGAGTCACTCTGTCCAGCATAAGTGTTCCCGCCTTGGTAAGATTTCATATAATATAGAAAGAAAAAGAGACAGACTTTTTATGATAAAGCTTTTCCCATAATCGCGTTTCTTATTTCAAAGGCGTGACTGCTACTTCCGGGGGGGTGTTTGACCCCCTAGATATTCAGCTGGCAAGTGGAGATTTCCGAAACATTACTTTAAAGGATTCAGAATCGTCCCTTCAGTACGTGTCTGCTTCCAAATAAATGCCAGTAAAATTTAGCCAAAGGACAAAATCCGTATCAATGCCCAAGGTTGGACATGATGGAGTGAGTATTGGGTAGAATGTGGGTATGGAAAATATGAAAGGTATGTACATTTGTAATATGAAGTAGTGGGGTTGAAACAATGTGTGTGTGTGGTGTATCTGGATTGTGTAGAACATAAATAAGGTCAAATGTGGTTGTTTGGATAACCAGTTCAGGTTGAATAAATGTATTCATGTCTTCTTTCCCTATTGAGAACAGAGGGATTTAGCATTATGTGAAATGCTTCTGCTACTCTTTCTATGGTTGGAAAAGCCTTTCTGACTTATTTTGATGATTTTAATATCAATTTTGTGATTAGTGAAAGTAACATGTACTAGTATTGCGGATATAACTTGTAAATTTCATAATTCCATAGGTTTACGAAGAGGTTTTCTTATTTAACTTACATGTTCTTTGGCACGAGTAAAATTCTCACGTGAAGACTCTCCAATAAAGAACACATCATAATCTACAAAACCTAATTTGTAAACTAAATTTTGTGTATAAGTGAACAGGATCTTATATTTTATTTTTACTTACTTACATACTTACGCCTGTTACTCCCAATGGAGCATAGGCCGCCGACCAGAAATTTCCAACCCACTCTGTCCTGGGCCTCCTTTTCTAGATCCATCCAATTCTTGTTCATTTTACTCATGTCTATTTCCATTTCCCGACGTAATGTGTTCTTTGGTCTTCCTCTCCTCCTTTGGCCTTCAGGATTTCATGTGAGGGCTTGTCTTGTGACGCAGTTGAATGCTTTCTTCAATGTGTGTCCTATCCACTTCCAGCACTTCTTCCTGATTTCCTCCTCCGCTGGGATCTGGT